GACACAAAGGAAACGAGAGAGCACCCGATACTCAGCGTCTGTGTATTTATAGAACTTCCAAAACCCGCAATAATTAATAACCAATCATAATTAATAATTCCATCCCGTAATAAATAATTAACCAATCATACATAATTATCATCCCGTAATGAAATCTCACTCTCGTACATCGTATGTAAAATTATTACAATACGTAAATAAATTAATAAAATATAATTTACACTTTAAAAGCACATTTAACATTTAATTAAACAGAATCTACAATCAAATCTTCCGCCAAAATAACTACGGTAAAAATAGATCAATACACCGTGAAGCATCATGGGAAAATACACAAGTAAACAAAGTATGGCGGCGGCAGAAGTTACGGAAAACACGTGTGCTGAAAGATGCTAAAATACATCGTTCACACGACAATTAAGGTAATCACGAGGTAATCATAAATTACTGTACAACTTTACAACTATGTATGTACAAGTAAACGATCAACAAACGTGTAATTAAATAGCATAACGATGCTTGACATTCAACACACATTATAACACATGAAAAAGGGGGGAGCGATCGTTACAAAATGTTTACATACATAAGAGGTTGCTCTTTCTTCCTCGGAAAGACTCGAGAAGTTGCAATACTGAGAGGCAAAATGTGTTTACTTAATACGTACTGTACTTAATAATCTAAATGGATGTTTGGATTATTTTAAATTCTTTATATATTAATTCTAATTTAAGATGGTATCAATGGCAACGTCTTTAGATTAATTACTATCGTGGGCATTATCCGTAATTCATTAGATGATCACAATGTTCTCTTCAATATTAATATTTTTTACATCTTGCAATAAACTAATCAGATATTTGGGGAATAGAAAATGATGATATACTACTTAGAATAAAGCGTTTAAAAGTTTTATAAGAATTTTGAAAATTATTTCATATTATTCATCGTTTATATATCAAAAAGCTTTTTTTTTAATTTTATAGTTGGGGGGGGGGGGGGCTAATTGTTTCAAATGTTCAAATGGGATACGATGTCAAAATTCGACGTCAGGGAGAGACCGCTGTGGAAGCAAAAGCCAACTGGAATTTAATATCAAAAATTGATCTGACGTATATGGAAAAGATGGGGGAGGGGGGTAACATACTATGAGAATTTACATTGTAAGACTAAAATCAAAATTTTATCCTACGTCAGGGAGAGAGCGCTGTGGAAGCAAAAACCAACTTGCATCTTAATATCAGTACATGTATATTATATCAGAAATTGATCTGACATGTATGGAAAAGATTGGGGGTAGGGTGGTAACATCATATGAGAATTTAAGACTAAAATCGAGTTTTTATGTTCTAGGTGTATATATACTCTTCAAAAAAAAAAAAAAAAAGAAAAAAAAAAAAGCAAAGTAGAATTTTAGTAACACATTGAACATAAAGATTATTTAGTAGAATGAAGTATTGATAATAAAGAAATGTAAACAATAGGTCTACAATTTACCTGTCATAATTACTCAAGAATTTTACAATCATAGAAAGTTCAAGGTCATTAAAGATCAATATCTTGTATGCCCCTACAGACACCAATGATAACTTAAAACATAATCCCACTGGGTGCAAATGAGTGTATTAAAAATAGTATGGGAATGCTATCCCATTCTATAAATGCAGAGCTTTTGGTCAGCTGTTGCAGAGTCTGGAGATGCGATTGTCTTTGGCGGGTATGCCTAACCATTTTGTCCAAGTGTTTAAATCTGGCGATTTAGATGACCAATGCAGAACAGAATGCTGTGGCTTTGCAAGAATGTGCTTGTTAAACGAGCCATTGTCGGATTGAAATACGGCTCCAGGATGCTGCATTATTGGAAAACCATGTGTTGGTTAGGACATCGTTAGAGTACCCTTTGAATATAAGAACCAAATCAGTCTTACTTGTATATACACCGTTTTCCACATCATAACACTACCACCGCCAAATCTGCAAACAACTGAAGCGATCCTGTGCTGCTGATGTCAAGGTGTTCTGCCATATTTGTTTTACCATGCTGTTAGTATCTATTTTACAGGTTAGATGTGGTGCTTTGTGCAACATTCAAACCTCTTGCAATTGTAGACTGTGGTACACTTGCTTCCGGTCGCCCAATATCTTTTTTTCCGATAAGCAAAAGTCTGATGCAGAATTTTTTAAAAAATTTCAAGGGGGGGGGGATCAAAATGTCGAGAACCCCTGCTTTTGATAGCCCTTTCGTACCAGAAGGATGTGGATCAGAAACCAGCAAATGAAAAGTGAAAAAAAAAAACAAAAACAAAAACACCCCCCCCCCTAAATTTTAGCATTTTTCAAAATCGGACTTTTTAGTCTTTCAGTTTTGTAGAATGGTGTCAAGTTAACAATGGATTTAAATTAAAAATGATGCATTTTACTTGAATGAATCATATATATCCATCTAAAAAGAATTGTATGACAAAACTATTTTATATTATGATATCTAGGGTATTATTCCTAGTATGCGTTTTTAGTTTCTGTTTTTGTTTTGTTTTGTTTTATTTTGTTGTACAATGTACTATTTTGTTTTTTCTTTCGTGAAGCTTTTACATCAAATAATTTGTAAAGGCAAATCCAGTCGCGTTGTTCCCAAAGGCCTTTATTTAAAAATATAGCTTGCATATTTGACGATATCTGGAAAATACTTGCCCAATGCTCATTGAAAACGCGATGCATACGAATTATGTTTCATGTAATTTTTTCATCATTTGAACTTTTATTTTGAGTATACCCGGTACATACCGATTAAAATGTGTTTATAACCTTGAGCAACTGATGTGCACTGAAACCTATTTGGAAAAAAATAATTAATTAATTAAAGAGTGCATTTTTCTCAATACAAGATTAATAAGTAAATAAATAAATATTTAGTAATTTACAATGACAGTTAAAAATTATTCTTTACAAGAAAAACATTACATTAAAAGGAATAGCTGGAAATTCCGCTTTTCAGACAAGTGCAAAATAAATCAACATTACGCAGTTTTACTTCCGATCTACATATATGATCTTGCAATTCATTTTCATGTACTCATGCAATTCAAAAAGGGTATCCATACAATCTAATAGGTGTCCATCTCATCTAAATCCACCCATGATATTATATATATATATATATATATATCCATGTAAGTATCTGGCGTGTTCTTCAGTCCATTAGTAAGTCGATTCAGTCATGCGGCAAAGCTTTTTCAACAGATCAAGGTATTATATAACCTGATAATTGATAAATGAAAAGGTTCAATCCTGGGTCTGGGTTTATCCCCGGGGAGTCACAAGCCATTTAATGTAAATAAAAGTACAATGTAAGTACCAGGGGTCTTTTGTGTCGCCTTAGTTTAATTGATGACAAACGACATATTCGATAATTGCATGTTTTTAATTTCGGCTAACGGGAAACGGAGTGTTACACGTACATTTATGTAAGGGGCACATATTATATGCAAACCGAGTGGGGAAGACAAGTACGTATGTAATCCCACATAAAGGCAACAGAAAGAATTTGCAGAATTGAATGTAAAATAAACATGGAGTCGCGGCGGTCTCGTTTCGCAGTGTGTTGGAAGTCAAGTCTCGAAAACGTTATCCTGGGACAAGGATGAAGTGCTAGTTGGATACATAACGATAACATGAACTCGCAACAGAAAACTGTCTTTTTAACGCTGGATGTAATATTTATGTGCCTGATTATCGTTTTCAATATTTCATCAATTGCTGTCATTATAAGGAAATCAAAATTAAGGAATCCTAAAAATTACCTTTTGATTTGCCTTGCTTTTTCGGACCTGTGTATTGGTGTATTTGTGATACCAAATGTAGTATTTTTATCGCTACACAATTCTCCAGTGTCTGCCTTGATTTGCCAGATTTGTATGTATTCCGAATTCATGGCTGGAGTAGCCCATGCGTGTTCGATCATAGCTCTAGCAATAGACCGATTTATAGCAATACAGTTTCCGATGAAGTCAAAGAGACTTAGGACTCAGAAAAACTATACGTTTGTTGTTAGTGCTATAATTGTTTTCTCTCTTTTGTACGGCATTCGTGGACCTACCCTTTACAGGCAGACAGAAAAAGTCACCCCGAGCCATGGCAACAGAAACGACACAGTGGTCAAATACCTATGTAAAGTGTCGGATGATGCAGTTCCTATTCATTTGGGATTTGTGATTGTGGACTTTACAGTGCTTTTTATTCTTCCCACTATCGTATTAATCATCTCAAATATTACTGTCTCCCGGACGTTAAACAAGAAAGCAATGACGAGGACCGGCAAAATCCCTACCCCATTACTCGCCAAAAGGAAGAAAGCTATGCGTCTTCTGCTTGTTATGGTTGCCATCTTTATAACCCTGAACTTTCCGTTATGGTATTGTCGATTAGCAGTCGATGTTTTTAAGCAGAATATCCCTAATACCGCGCTAGTGAAGCATAGTTTTATGCTTTTAGTTTTCTTTTATAACTGTTCTAATGTGTTCTTTTACGGGATGCTGAACAGCGAGTTGCGGATGATGCTGTTTAAGATATTCAGTGCGTGTGGTCTCTGTCAAGACATGGACATGTTAAGAAGATCTAGCTTTATGAGCCATTACTCATCCAGTAACACAAGTTTATACAACATTTCAAGAAGAAATACGAACACTTCACTGCGAGATATGCCAGTAATTGTTGAGAATACTTAACGAATACATGCTTTGAATTTCACCCACATTTCATCATTCAAGTTTTGGACATCTAGAATGGTGGTGTTGTTTAATATCTTACATTTTATTGAAGAATGAAAGCTGCATCCTACATGTAATTGATCTGTGAGAGTCAAACCCTTTATGCTGCAAGGTGAACCATTGGATTTTAACACAATAATGAGACCAAAAAAAAATTGAATACATTTACATGTATATTACAGATATGTACATGTATTACACAATAATCAAGTATAAATATAAGCTTTAACATCATTGATTGTTTAATTGTCATTTTATTTCATGAATATAGCATTTAAGAATTCATAACAAAAACAAAGTTAAGTAAATTAGTCATTGTAATACATCATAATCAGACATTTTATATTTGAATGAAATTTTAAAGTGAATGGATGTCATTTAAACAAAGAAAAATGTATCTAAAATCAATAAAAAGTTTAGATAAGAATTGTACTTGTACAACATTTGTGCATAGAGATCACATAATTTAATTAATCTGAGAAATTGACGTCAATTTATTCTTATAAATCACCATAGACAGTATCACATAACTGCACCATTTACATCTAATAAAACCTTGTCATGGTGTTTTTCTTCAGAAGAAAATAAAATGGTACATGTACATGACTGTGTGAAAATGCATTTAAAATGCTGGAAACTCTAGGCTTTCTAATAAATACATATACTGCTTATTTTTTACAAGAAGTCAAGCCAAATAAAACTGTATATAATTATATAATTTTTGGATGCAATATCACCACTTCATGTTATTTTTATAACCCAGACATAGTCTGCCAACAAAAAAGAATTCTATTGTAAATTGTTATTTACAATGAATTGACATTATGTGGTGACAAAGATAAAATAAAAAATACAGGCATAAAGGTTGAATAATTAAGTACAACATTTTCAAGTAAAGAACACATCAACATTCAAAAAATGGATTTAAAAAATTTGGGAAAAAAGTATGTAAGGACTGCAGTGTACATATATGTACACAATCATTATTCAGTTGGTACATGTAGGTATTATTGAATATCAGAAAAAATTCAAGAAGGAAAATAAAGAAAAGCACATTTTCATTTTTATGTGTGTATGTGTCCACATTATAAAATACTGAGCAGGTATATGTATGAATTATTCTTGTAGTATATTCAAGAACTGATGGTTAAGTACAAATAAAATTGAATTAATTATTAAAATTTGGCATAAGTTTTAGCTTAATAGCAAACCAAAGACTACAAAAACTGAGAATTTAATAAGGAAAATTTTAATAATTTTTCATATTCATTAAAACTGGACTCAGTGCTAGCAAGCTTTTTCAATATTTTCCAATACTACATCTAGTATGTTCATTCAGGTAGCTAAATTTGAACAGTTTTAAAAAGAAAAACAAATGGAGTTCACTTCCCTTTGCTCTGCTCTTGATCAAAATGATTTAATTAAGGAATTAATTTAATAGCTGCCCAATTTATATGGTATAAACAAAGTTCTGGCAGTTTACGCTTTATAAACCAAGTAGTGGTTTATAAAAAAGCGTAAATTGTTCCAACCCAGTTTATACTGCAAAAATTGGGTAGCTATTAAATTCATTCTTTATTTAATTTTCATTCATTTAGTGTAAGTAAATAAGATGAATGTCCTTTAAAGATGACTTCATACTGTACAAAATTCAAATCTAATGTCAGGTGAATTAAATACATTTTTGACACAAGTCAACATGAGTAGGCAACACAGTTTATACAATATAAAGTAAACTTTTCATCTAATCAAATGGTGTGTTACAACCTGAAATAAAATATATTCGTAAAACCAAATTAAGCTCTAAGTTCAAGGTAATTCTTTTGAGTTTTAAAACATTACGGAACAGAGATAAGGGCAGATCATATTAATGGTGCAAAATTATTATTCAGCCATTTTGATAAAGTTGATGTGTTCTTCCTTATTCAGTATATTTACCAGTGCTTAAAGCAGTAATGATACCATTTTAAAAAATATATTTACAAAAAGCTGCCCTCAACATTTGAGCCAACATTAGATGTCCCATTTTGACAAATTGATGGTACATGCATTGTAATAAAATCATATGCTAAGCACTTAATCAGTCAAAAGCTTTCTCAAATTCTTATGCTCAGTATATGTTTTATCTATGGACACTTCTGCTTTCTGAGAGCACCAAATTCTGCACATGTCATGAAGTGGTTTCCATGGATCCAACCATTAAATATTCCAGCTGCTTAAAGGTTATGGGAATTAAGCTGCTAAGCTATTCACACTCTTTTGCAGTCTGTTTGCAGGAGCATGCTATGCCTTGAATGGGACAGTGACCACAGCCTTGATTTTTCTTGGTCTGCGGTCGGTACAAGCACGGCGCTGTTTGCGGGGACAGCCAGCGAGGGACTGGGATGCTGGACTGAGTATTTAACAGTTTTATTTAAATCAAGAGAGTTTTATGATAATGTTTAATGTTAGCCTTTTTGATCAAACCCATCAGTTCCATCAGGACCACGTGGTTGTCTTAAAATAGCCATTGTACAGTTATTATTTAGGTTTGGTCTTCCATCTTCAAGCTGCATCAGCCTAGGTGGTCTGAAATAAAAAAAAGTAAAATAATAAGGTAAATAATGAGTCCTATTGAATGTGCTGACTATATAACAAATAAAAATGATGAAGTAATTTCATAGCTAAAGGTCTTTTTTGTTCCTTGTTGCATTTCGACTTTCATTTTTGCATTTCCAGGTGATAGCCACCAACTAGACCTAATTATAAACAAGTGGTTCATAGATTATTCTAAACAAAATGTATCATATTACCCTGATTTTCTGATGTCAGATGGACAATTAAAGCAGCAGTTAAGAAATATAGTTTGGTGATCAATAGAGAATTTTGCAAGGAAAATGTTGTTTTTTCCCCCCAAAAATTCATGTGTATTTATATATACCAGTACTGAACAATTCATTGATCATTTATTCGAAATAAAGATCACAGCCTCAGATTTGCAAAACAGAGACTACCATTAAATCTTCCATTAAAGCTTAGTGCTTTCCTTTGATTCCACAAGTCACTGCATTATGGCATCATGAACTGCATCAATGTCCCTCTTCATGAAAACTCCTCCAAAATAGCCAAGGACTCTTTTATTTCATCCTTTCCAATATGAAACAAAATTAACATTGTTGACTTACACACTACCAACCTGTTATTAGTCACTGCCACTTCCTCTTTCACTTCTGTTGATGAAGTTGAACCTAAGATTCTCTTTCTTGCTTCAGCATATTCTGCTTCTCTTTGTTCCAAAGTTTTGGTAGGTTTGTTGCTTGCTCTGTAAATTCAATGTACACAATACTGAAAATCACTTCAATAAACAGAGAATGTACACACTTGACACTTATGTACAGCTATATGCACCTAAAATGAACAAAGGTGACTTTTCCATGTATACATATATAAATATTTACATTTCCAATGTCTTTGTCTGAGATAAAATTACAAATTGTAAAAACACTTTATTTCTACATAAATCTACTGGTTCATCGATAGGCGCGGTTAAAAAAAATCACGTGCGGGGCGGGACAAATAGAGGGAGAAGCGGGGCTATTAGCACGGGAATTTGCAGAATCAGGAGCATGTAAATATAAGGAATAACTGTCAGATTTTTTGGATTCATGACGATGATCAATCGATTGGCTTGCGTGATAATTTTATGCATAAACGCCTTCGGCGTTTATGCAAATTATCACGCAAGCCACTCGATTGATCACATCATGAATCCAAAAAATAAGACAGTTATTCCTTAAATATATATGAAAATATTATTCAACAAGATGTGTTTGGGAAACACTGATCCCCCCGATGGCAGCTTACGGTAAAGGTTAAAGTTTCTCAAATGCAAGTCAAAATCCAGGCCAAAAGATAAAAAAATGTTGGTACCCAAAGAAAGGTCTTGTCTCAAGGAATATACCTGTGAAATTTGAAAGCCCTAGCTGCAACTGTTCAAAAGTTATGGCGAAGGTTAAAGTTTTTTAAAAGTAAGTAAAACTTCAAGGTCAAGGTCAAAGTTGTAAGTATTTAAAGGAAGGTCTTGTCACAAGGATTACATATGTGAAGTATGAAAGCCTTAGCACCAACCATTCAAAAGTTACGGCCAAGGTTAAAGTTTTTCAAAAGTAGGTCAAACTTCTATGACAAGGTCAAAGGGTCAAAGTGGTTAGTATCAAAGGAAGGTGATGTCACAAGAATTACATATGTGAAGTATGAAAACCCTAGCATCAACCACTCAATAGTTATGGCCAAGATTAAAGTTTTTCAAAAGTAGGTCAAACTCCTAGGTCAAGGTCAAAAGGTCAAAGTGGTTGGTATCCAAAGAAAGGCCTTGTCACAAGGATTACATATGTGAAGAATGAAAGCCCTAGCTCCAACTGTTCAAAAGTTATGGCCAAGTTTAAAGTTTTTCAAAAGTAGGTCAAACTCCAAGGTCAAGGTCAAAGGGTCAAAGATGTTGATATCCAGAAAAAGGTCTTGTCACAAGGAATACACATGTGAAGTTTGAAACCCCAAGCTCCAATTGTTCAAAAGTTATGGCCAAGTTTAAAGTTTTTCAAAAGTAGGTCAAACTCAAAGGTCAAAGTTGTTGGTATCCAAAGGAAGGCCTTGTCACAAAGAATACACTTGTGAAGTTTGAAACCCCAAGCACCAACTGTTCAGAAGTTATGGCCAAGGTTTAAAGTCTCAATAAAGTTAAATTCGTTGCATTCCATACTTATCACGTGATCACATACTATATATATCCTCACTCATTCATGTTCGATTATTGAGTCTCGCTATAACCTACGGGTATACAAGTATATTTAAAAATGAGGTAAACATTATGTATTTGATATTTTATGTATGTTTACGGGTCTGAATGTATTGATTAATGAAAAAATTATTTATAATAGACTGAATCAATATCATAATTATATAAGGCAATGCAAAATAAAAGGTTATAGCGAGTACCATTCCTAACATATGAGTTCTTTTCATTACTCTCATACTTAAGATATAATTGTTTTATATTCGGACGAACATAGTGAGGGAGAATATAATAAACTTTTGCAAAAGTGGGTCAAACTCCAAGGTCAAGGTCAAAAGATCAAATATGATGGTACCCAAAGAAAGGTCTTGTCACAAGGAATGCACATGTGAAATATGAAAGCCATAGCTCTAACCAATCAAAAGTTATGGGCAAGGTTAAAGTTGACAACAGACAGACAAACAGACAGACAGGACAAAAACAATATACCGCCAGGATCTTTCGATCCAGGGGCATAAAAATGCATAGCATATAAATTCTGTCATATCATCATCTAAATTTTGATTTCAAGTTTCAAATTGTGTTTGACAAACTGTCAAAATAATCCTCACATATTTTTACTCCTGATGTTATCCTTCTGTTTGCAATGTCATAAATAGAAAAGTTTTCATGACCATAGATTAACCATATTATGTGTAAAATATGCAACAAATTTTTTTCTAGCAATTACAAGAATTTTTAAGCCATTTCTCAGGGTGTTAAACTAATTTGTAATCCTTGATAGCCATGTGGGCTACTGAACCTTGCAATTCTGGGGCCCACATCAAAATTTATTTGCCCACAGATTATCAGACCTTCTACTGAATATAAAAACAACCCCATTTTCGTTTTTTTATCATGTGCTTCCTTTTCTATCCGTTGTAACGTTATGCATGATTTATCTAAATTTGAAGTGGAACTCTTCTGTTTATGAAGATTGATATGATCATTCAATATCATATAAAGAGCACATGGCACGTTTTCATTCACAAATAACATCAGTACTTTTTGGTTTCTTGGGCTGATTGACGGGGAGACCCGTGGATGCCACATTGTGCCCGACACAATCACTTAGACGCTTTATGTATAAGTACTTCTTACGGGACAATCACTTAGACGCTTTATGTATAAGTACTTCTTACAGGTAATTATAAAGCATTTTACTGATTACGAAATTTTTCAAGAGAAAAATACAAAACATTCAAACAAAATTGAAAAACAAATATTTATTATCGTAAATATCTAATCGCCATGTGGGCAACTTGAACGTAATTTTAAGTCGCCCACATGGAACATTAGTCGCAAATTGCGAGTGGGCGACTGTTAATTTCAAACCCTGTTTCTAAATCATTAGTATTAGGCCAAATAAAAAAATATGTGTGGTTCCGGTTACCCGACCGTCCCTATTTTATACCCCCGACCCTAAACTTTTTTTGGCAATTTTCATATTTTTTCTGGATTTTTCCCCAATTTCCATCAATGGCTCCAGTTTTAGTTTCAGCAATGACGGCCCCCTTGCACAACATAGTGCAAGTGTTTATTAGTGTTAAATCCAAAGCAAGCTAGCATGTAGGTGTCCCCTACCAATATTGACTAGTATATTATCACACCACATCTAAATGTCATTTGCAAAGTAGTGATAAGTATTATTTAGAAAAATTAAGAAAGTCATTTTGTTTAAAAAAAAAAAAAAGAAATCTCTACCTACCTACCCTAATTTTTTTTACCCTGAATATCTTAAATCCTCGGTTATCTCAAAGTATTTTCTTTGTCCCTTTGAGTTCGAGATAACGAGGTTTGACTGTACTTGAAAAGAAATCTGCTCCAAAAACTTTAACCTGGGATGCGGATGCCTGCACTGATGGTATTACATAAACTCCCCAACTTCGTTGAGGTGAGCTAAAAATTCAAAATCCATATTCTTGACGTTATCATGAAACTAACTTAATGTCATACTGGGCTGTGCAGCTTGTATATACAATCTATTCACACCTATAATTTTTGTAAAATAGTGTATATTGTTTAAGTTTTATATATTTACTAAATCATGGTCTATATCAAAATTATGTTGTATACACTTGGCAGTGTGGTCAATATCAAGAAAATTTTGGCATTTGTCTAAGGCTAAATAAAAAAATATGCGTGGTTCCGGTTACCCGACCTTCCCTATTTTATACCCCCGACCCTAAACTTTTTTTTGGCAATTTTCATATTTTTTCCGGAATTTCCCCCGATTTCCATCAATGGCTCCAGTTGAAGTTTTAGCTTCAGCAATGACGGCCTCCTTGCAAAACATATTGCAAGTGTTTAATAGTGTTAAATCCAAAGCAAGCTAGCATGTAGCTGTCCCCTACCAATATTGACTAGTATATTATCACACCACATCTAAATGCCATTTGCAAAGCAGTGATAGGTATTATTTAGAAAAAATTAAGAAAATCATTTTGTTTAAAAAAAAAAAATCCCTACCTACCTACCCTAATTTTCTTGGAAGTGTAACCGGAACCACACATATTTTTTTGTTTGGCCTTACCAAATTTCCAGACCTTTCCACTAAATTTTCTCTTTTTCTTCACTTTATGACATTTTTTAATGACAACACAAAAATTCATGATACTTTAAGGTGTTTTGTCAATCAAGTGAAATTTCTTATAAAGAACTATTTGGTAATGACCAATATTTGCCCCCAAAATCAAACTTTTTTTAAACCAGAAGGATATCCACAGACTTCAAAGCATTATATATTTTCATTAGCCATGAAGCTATATGTTAAATATGACATCAGGAAAATGAGGTAAATTCAAAATGTCCATGATTTATAGAGAACTAGATGTGTCGTAACGCCACGATTGCCCCAGCAGGCAGCCAAAATTTCAAATGCCACATTTAGTTTTAAATTTGTCTTCCATCATGACCAGTATTTTCTGGTAAAATACCTGCATATGCAATTTCAAGCTTATACATACATCTCTACAAAAGTTAGAGAGCAGAAACTAAAAAATTCCTATTTTTTTCTACGTTCAAGAGAAATAATTCTGTCAGATCATCAGACCACAACCAAATTTAAACTTGAATGTATTTTCTGGTAAAATGCCTACACTTGCAATTTCAATCTTATACTACTCCAGAATGCTAGCGGTTCACGGTGAGATACTTTTGACTTGGCTCCGCGTATAAGGAGCGTAGGGACGTTGATCGAGGCTCTTATTTGTAGGAGTAAATCTTAAACATACTTCCTCACAAAAAGTTAGAGAGTAGAAACTGAAAATTTCTTATTTTTTTCTAAGTTCAAGAGGGATAACTCTGTCAAAAATCATCAGACCATGACCAAATTTGAACTTGACCTGTATTTTCTGGTAAAAATCTGCATATGCAATTTAAACCTTATACATAAATCCCTACAAAAGTTAGAGAGCAGAAACTGAAAATTTCTTATTTTTTTCAAGTTCAAGTGGGATACTCTGTCAAAAATCATCGGACCATGACCAAATTTGAACTTGACCTGCGTATTCCTATGACGTATCCATATGTCAAATTTTTAGTTGAATGTATGCAACTGTTGCAGAGATAATGAATGGAAAATGAATGATGACAGAATGATGGAACACAGTAACACTATATGCCCCCGGCCATTTTATGGCAGGGCATAAAAAGGTTACATGTATATGTCAATATTTTGAGTAAAAGTCACAGGCTGCAGGTCTGCTCCAAAATCCAGAAAGTTAGTGACGTCATAGAAACAAAAATTGCTGGTAATCCACTCCAAAAGACCAAAACTATAATATTTTTGGTTAATTTAGATTTTTCACACAATGTAATATACAATTCAGCTCATTTCAAGACATTTTCAAAATTTGACTTTTCTGGGGGCAAAAATAAGCATATCCAGCATATAGCTCTTTCATTAAATTAAACAATTGATCTTGCCTTGTCCCTTGGTTTGCTGTAGAATTTGCATCTGATTTCCTTTTTAGTATGCGAACCTGCGGAGCATACTGGGTTCTATTTCCATCTTCAACCACAACCGCATCTGATGCAAGTCTATAGAAAATGAAAGGTATACATTTACTACAATTCTATTATATAAAGACTGTCCTACATGAGTGCTTCCACCACATTTTAAACAATATCAAATAAATTTGACTTGTTAAAAATTGTTTTCAAAGAAAATACTTAAACAGTAAAGTTTATTCATTTGAAATGATTTCCAATCCGGTTTTAGCTGTTTATATCACATTTGCAGTCTATACGAAAGACATCGGACCATCGGACCTGACCGATGTGCAGTGCCTCTGGTCCGATGCGTCTTTTTTTTACACTGGACAAGAATGTCCGATGTGTCAGTGTCCAGTTTTGAGCATTATTTTTTGGATGCTGTATCATTTAAATGTTTGTTACAGTAAAAAAATATTGCAGAAATCAAAATACCTAAATGAATGTGATTAAAACCGCATGGTCCATCTACAGTATTATACAGGAGTGATCCCTTGTTAAAGAAAAGCTGTTAAGCTAGTAGTCTACTACTCTGTATTTTCACCTATTTCACTTTTTTACATTAGGCTTTTCGGTCTGACAAAACTTGGTTTGGTCCTGTGTGTTCATTGATTACACAGGACCAAATGTCCTGTGTGGTCCAAAAAACTTTCGCATAGACTGCATTTGATACATATACCCAGTAACTTGACACATATGACATTCAAATTGAATGTGTTTCAAAGTCTACGAAAATTTTGATGCTAATTTTGGCCACTGCTGTGAAGCGTGCATGGAGTTGTTTTATATGTTTTTCTCCAGAAATTATTCAAGTGTAATGTATTTATAATATGATTTTGAACTTATCTTCCATCATTACGCTACAGATATGAATATAAAATACATTCTATAAGGGTTGTGAAATGATATATATATATATTCCTGTATTCTTCTCTGCAGTATTGAAATTTTTTATGCTGGAAAATTAATAAAATGAAAAAAGTAACCTGTTTCTTTTTTCATAGCAAGAAAAACCTCTCCATGGGTTAGTAAAATTTGGCACTTAATGATTTAAACAGCTTTTAAATATTTCTATCAAATTTTAAACTTTAATCATCAATTAAATATATATTCATCCCTGTTAATTGCAATCATACACAAGAATATACAAGTATGGTACAAAAAATATTAAAATATCTTCCTAGCCCTAGTGCACATTGCCCATATACTTACTTTTTAGATTCCTTTAATTTCATTTCTTCTAGTTTCTTGTCAAGATCCTTTAAAAAAAAAAGTTAAATTGATAATTAGGCAATCATAATGAAACATGGGTAGATGATTCTAATCTTTGCATAATGATATATAGCTATTACAATGAAAAATCCACAGTGTTGCAAATGTCAACATTGTGTATCAAAATTTTGAAGCAAGAAAAAAGAAGTTGAGAAAATGTGTTGACTTTTTCTTTATATGGATTATTTTTGGGGGAAAAGGCATATACAAGCTCAAAAACTTTATTTTTTGGGGGAAAAGACTTACACAAGCTCTAAAACTATGTTAAGTTTATAATTTAGTGGGTATTTTCAGTGCAACTTTTTTTTATTCCAAAAATCTTGATAGAGCAGATCTTCTCCAAGTTGCTACATTACAATTACATGGGACAAATTCTATCTGTTATAAAGGCTTGTTCTAAGACACAGTTAAATTATTCTGACAGGTTTTGTTCCCAGACACTGTTAATTCAAAAGCAATTTGTATGTAACCACCAATTGTAGGTAAAATAATATGAAAATATTGATAATCGCTGGATGATACGATCTATCAAGAATTTAAACTTGATTATTCTTAAATATTTCAATCAATACAAAATGTTACAGATCATCTTAAATACTCATTATCTCATAATGTTCCTTGGGTACAATTTAAATGAACACCCTGTGTCACAACAAAAGCCAACTCGCAAATTTTATCATTGCTCTTTATAAAAAACATCTTATTTTTTGTTTTTAATGAGTATTTTTCAGTCAATTGAAAACATGAAAAGGGTATGAGTGAAAATAATTTAAAAGATTTATCATTATAACTAACCATGCTATCACAAAAAGAAAATATACTACTTTACCCCAGTATCTTCAAACTCCTCCCAGCTATCAAGCACATCTCCATTTGCTTCTTCTGCCATACTGAATATGTGTAAATATGGAATTTCTCTCAATATCAAGATTACTGTACCATCTGATTTGAAAGAGGGGTGGTGTTCCTCAAACTATTTTCATTTCAAACGATTTTTACGACCTGCCAAAAGTGAAGACAGTCAACATAAAAGTTAGCCGTTGCAGTGAAAAATATCCGGAAAGAAATTAACATGATAAATAAAAATATCTTATTAGAGAAAAAAATTCAGCTGTAAGGTATATATTAAATTAACTCGATACTATATTTTTAAAATTCTTTATTAAAAAAAAAAAATGTGTACAGGTGTACCGGTAGTTTAATAACAAGATCTACTGAGCGTTTAAAATCAAGCTGATTCCAAGCGTGCATGTGAAAAAGTTTGTTGTCATTTCAGAAGGACAAATGTGAAACGATGTCGGGTGGTGATCATAATCATGTTTCTGCTCATGACAATGCCGTATTGAACAGAATATTCAATCCCAATTTACCATACGGCGATGTTGTAGACGAAGAAGAAGTGGAGAATGAAACTGGTAGTTGCAAATTAACTTTGACCAGGACATAAATAAATATGCCATCATGGACCTACATAGTTTAAATAATCATTTTCAATTTAGTGGCAAGTCTCCACTTTTGATGAATGTCTTAACATGTCCATTTTAATGTGCTTATGTGTCTGGCTTCATATTTTTATTTGGAGGCAGGGTTCGACACTAACATTTTTACCTTGGTGGACCGCAGGTCCACTAGTCAAAAAATATTGGTGGACCTTCTCAAATTCTGGTGGACCTTTATAAATGTTTGAATTAATGAATGAGTTCATTACACAAGGCTTGAAACCAACTTATGTACCCAGTTTCATCAGACTAATAAAGTATAAGTTTAACCAGTCAACAGAAACAAATCAATTAGTCAGGAGTTTTCAGCAATATTGTAAAACATATTTTCAATATTTAAAAAAAAGAACACAATCTACATCTTCAAACAATTTGTCATTTTAATATCATTTATTTACAATGGTAAAAACCTGCATTTATTTAGCTTCCAACGGTAGATACAATTTATAATCCCAATAATTGAGTTGTTCATATAAACAAATGAATTTTTCATGTATCTATGGCTAAAATACTTTTTACTACGATGCAAAACTGACAAAAGTATATTTATTTATTTATTTATTTTTATTAATTATTATTTATTCAAATAAACTGCGATCATATGATTCTTTTATGTGATATAATGTATAGCAGAAAAAAAAACAGGAACTGCAGATAACATATTCATAAAATATAAATCACACCTGTTTGAGGACACTGCATAAATGCAGCTGTCAATCAATTCTCATTATCTCCAAACCTGGCCATCAGAGTGCGTTCAGGCGTGAAGTGATTTCCTGTTACCCAGTGTATATTTTCACACCTTTCTGTGCATTAAACAAACAAAGTACAGACTGACCAATTTGGCTGGAATTTTACATGCTTCTTTTTCAGGGTCCGTGTTGAATGTTCTTGCAGTCAATGTTATTGATATTGTAGTCATCAATATTACATGTAAAATATATATTTAGTCACTAGGTTCCCCTGATTACCCAAAATAAATTATACCCTATTTATTTCTTGTAAAATATAAGTATGGATGAATTAATCGTTGATTTACGGATGTCGATTTATAGAAAAAGTGGAATTACCATTTCTTTTTAATATGGTGTTTAATTTCAAAGTGGTCCGACGGTCCAACTAGTCCAGAACATTTGGTGGACCTTCCAATTTTTTGGTGGACTCGGGCCGCCGGTCCACCGTTAGTGTCGAACCCTGGGAGGTTAGGCAGGTGCAATCAACTGATACATGTCAGATATAGCTCAGTTGGTAGATCAACAGCTTACCATTCGTCTAGAATTCACTGGGCCAGAGTTCAAGTCCTGGCCTGGTCTGTCCAATTTTCTAACTTTCTGTTACATTTGTTGCCATGTCATGAAAGTGACACGAGAAGGAATTGTAAAGTATTGCTGGATGTGAGAAAATGTAGCTTTAGTGTGAATAATTCCAAACTCATTTTCTTATATGTCTGTAATAAAATTTAATTTTAGATTTCTAATAGAAACTAATATCATATAAGTGTTTGTTTCATTTCAGAGGAAGAAACTGATGAAATTAAAGTCTCAAAGCAGCTAGAAATTGAGGGGGTCCAAGCAGCTGAGAGTGGGGACATAGAGACAGCATTAAATTCATTCTCGAAGGCCATTCAGAACACCCCCCAAAGGGCATCAGGTTATAATAATCGTGCTCAGGCTCTTCGTCTTAAGGGGGATGTCCAGGGTAAACATATAAAATAAATATGTAAACTATTTATTTCATATAAGTATTTTGTCATATAGTCTCAGGCAGAGTAAAATATTTGAACAGTGAGCACTAAAAATTTGAATGATTATGCCTCCATCTATCCAACATACATGTTAACTTACTGTGATGAAAAGATGGAGATTCAGACCTCAAAAGTGGTAACATTGAATTGGGTGATTTTTGCTTCAATTTTGAGATATAAGTTTGGCCTCTAATGACCACTGCAATAATTAAAATTAAAAAACAACAGCTTACTGCATTTAAGAAGACAAAACAACACTTACATAAATAATGCATGTTTTTTTTTATCTTTATCACAATGACTGTTAGTAGCTGCTTTGCCTTTTGAAGAATGATTTTTGTTGATATAGCCCAGTGATGTACCGATTTATCAATTAAATAAATCATCTATTCAAAATGCCCCCCTCCCCAATTATGGATGATAATTATAATTTTGATAATTGATTAATCACAATATTATTTAAGCAAATTATTCCTATGATTCATTCTTCATTGAATGTAACTAAATCTTAAGTATAAGTTTAATAAATGAATCCAATGATACAAATACGTACATCAAAAATGCATTTTAGAAATCATTTCAGAATTTTTTACCAATTATTCTCCATTCAAAATTGAACAAATTTTATACTTGAAATCAATCGTTTATGAATTGATTATTGTGCATCCAATTATTCTGATAATCAATTATGAAAAAAAAAAAATATGATTGCTCATCAGTAGTATATGTAGCCTGCAAACAACAATTGTCATTGTCCATTTAGTTACCAAATAGAGCAAATAATGTCATTAGACAATTCAGATCTAGAACTATAAGTTTGTATTTCTTTAAACAAGATTTGTATTTTCTGCTATCATGGCAATGGGGAAATCGAAAGTAGAGTTGCAAAAGAGTATAAAATAAATATTAATTCAATTTTTAACCTTTTATGAACCATTTTTTTTAAGAACAAAGTTTTCAACCAGATTCTAGAATACCATCCCTCTCTTTTTTGTGGTGAGGATGTAAATGAAAATTATCATACCCAAATGTAATCATGAAGATGTAAATCCCTGTTACTGTTCAATGCATTCTTGAAGTCCATCTAAAGATGGGCACCAAAACAGTGTTTGTATCCTCCCAGTTCAAATCATGCTATTCTTTGAAAACCAACAAGATTTTATGACCAGGTGGCTTCAAAAATGGCTACCCTAGCGAATTTAAAATGGAATTTATAGAAAAGTGGTAGATTTTTTAATAAAAGTGGTAGGTACATGTAGGAGATGGAGTAAAAAAGAGACTTCCCTGTAAAGTGGTAGAGTTTAACATGTATGCATCCACTTTCATCCCATAAAGATTTACTTAGTTGTCCTCTTTGAGCCTTGAGCACATAAGGCCTGCACTGAAGACTGCCATTTATGTCTTTCAGCTGCCATTTTATGCACCATGCTTAAAGTACGTCCCTGATCTTTCATCTCTTGTTCTACTTATCACCGCCATGTCTCGTTTGGTTGCCCTCTGTTTCACTTTCCTGGTGGAGACTGTACATCTTAAGGCTACTTCTGGTATATCTTATGTTTCATTCTTAGAACATGGTCAATCCATTTTCATCACTTTTTAATCTGGTCAAATATGGCAGGTATTTGTATTCTTTCATACAGCTTCTCATTACTGATCTTGCTTAGCCAGAATATCTTGAGTATTCTGTGGAAGCATCTTTTTAGAAGGTGTCTGATTTTAGTGTGTTGTTGTTTGACATCTTTCAGGATTCAGAGCCATAAAGGAGGACTCCAATATTATTTGTTTTTAAATCCTTATGTTGGTTTTAGTTCTGATGATTGAGGACTTCCAGATATTCCATAGGATTGAAAAAATGACACAGGCTTTTGCTATTCTACTTTCAACATCCATGGTGGAATCTACATTGGCTGTGATCTTGCTGTCAAGATATTTAAACAATAAAATGCTTTCTTTGGTTGTTGGTATGGGAATTAATGTTGCAGCTGTTGCAGAAAAAATGCATAACCCGCTCACGCAGGTTATGTATTTTTTTCTGCAATAGCTGCAACGTTAATTCCCATATCAACAAACAGAAAGATGTTTTATTGTTTATATTTATATATGTACAAAAAATCATCTAAAGTAGGATTAAGTTGATTAAATATTGTATTATTGATATGTACATTATTGTACGTTTAATTGATAGAAGAGCCACTGCTCAAGAAATCTTTACAGGTGATATGCTTATTGCTGTTTACTGACTGATAAACAGCAATGGTTTTCTTAAGAAATAAAGGAGAAGATATTCAGTGGATGTCAATATATACAGTTGAATTTTGGTATCTGGAACACGGATATCCTGAATATCATGGATATGTCGAAGTGATTTTGAAGTTCCAACTGCTTATTCCTTAAGTCTTTTACCCTAGATATCTTGAATCCTCGGTATTTTCTCGGTCCATTTGAGTTCTAGATAACGAGGTTTGACTGTATTTAATTCTAATCTATTGTTGTTTGCTGTGACTTCCTTGTCTATCTTTGTATTTATCTTTATTAATTTTGTTTTGTTAACATTTATATTTAGTCCTATTTGTCTGCCATACTGGACTAGGTCATCAGTTTTGCGTTGTATATCCTTATGTCCCTGTGCTAGTAAAGCGATTTCATCTGCAAATTTAAGTCAAGATCTTTAAGTGACTGTTAAAATGTCCAGGACATTCCTCTACTGGCCTGAATGATAGTGACTTTCATAACCAGTCTATGCCTATGCAGATGTGGCAATCAGACAGGTTTGATCACTGGTGGCCAGATAGCTTACTTGGTAGAGCACCTGACTGGAGATTTTCGTGGTCTGAGTTTGAATCCCGGTTTAGTCTGTCACATTTTCCCACCTTACATGCACTTCCCTAGTTTTTAGTGAGTACATGTATTAAGGACAGATGATACCAAAAAAAAAATGGATGCTTGGATTGATGTATATTTTTGTATCTATTTTGGTGGTAAATGATGCAAATATCAAATTTCTAAAAAATTAAGAAATTGTAAACTTTCTATGCTGTTCAAAATTCTACCTTTCTGCAATCATCCTTAAGAATTTATACAAGTTTTAATCACTTTATAGGACGTTCAAATTTGAATAAAGAATTTTAAAAATCTATTTGGTTTAACTTGTCCATTTTAATTATATAAATACGACTTCTTCTTTTTTTATATTCTTGAGTTTTGGAAAAAAAAGTTTGTACATGGTTGTGCTGGTCATTGTTTCTATGTGAGTAAAATATTTGATGACCAGTGGCAAGTTTTCGAGCCCCATTTCCTGTCCTTCTCATTTCACATGTACCTAGCATTTCGACGATGTACCTTTCCATTTCCTTTAAGACTTGAGTTAATTTTCCTGTCTGGTGGAGGTTGTGGATGTTTCAGCAACCAACTGTACATATGGTACTTCTTTAGGGTGGAGGATGTCCACCCACTAACTGGATGTCAGTTTCCTGCTGGGTTTGACTGCCATCCTTCATGTGTTCAGTTTCCTGAGTAGTTTTCATACTTCCCTTGTTACTATTATCCTCGGCTTTGGTTCCTGTAGCAGTTAGATTAAAAATTTTTACATGTTAGGGTTGCTACATGTAATTATAAGCAAAACCCCCTGGACTCGGAGGACCATTGGTTTTCTGTCAAGGTTTTCCTTCCCTTAGTCACAGGTTCTGGTTATTTAAAGGCACTGGAGACTCACCTTTCACCGCTATAGCATTTCGAGGGTCACTGAAACAAGGAGGTGTGACAAGTGGCTTGCTGGCAGAACATATTTGAGATGGTGGGCATTAACTCAAAGTTTTGTTGACGAATCTCAGTCACCAAAGGAACACACCTCAAGACCCTCATCAACATTTGAAGACTTAGCAATTAAAAGAAGAAAAGAAAAAAAATGTGAATTTTGCTAAAAATGAATTTGTGATCACTGTTAAGATAAAAAACATATTTATAAGCTGCAGCATGCATTGTACATGTAGGATGTTATCCAATAAGTCAGCTTAAAGGTTAAATTATGTGTAGTGATTAGATCTTTATAAATGACAATAGCATTACTAATATAATTATGTAGATATCATTTAAGGTACATATATATTATATAAAAATATTAAGCAACAAATGTCCTTAACAGGTGCTTTAGAGGATTTGAACATGGCTATAACACTAAGCAGTGGGTGTGGTTCAGTGGCTTGCCAGGCATACACTCAGCGAGGCCTTATCTACAAACTGGAAGGTAGGAAGCTCATTGATTATTCTTTGATTCTTTATGGGAGTGAATTCAGTGTGCTTTAGGAATCGGAAAACAAATTTAAAAAAAATGAGGCAATCAATGTCTTTTCTTCCTTTTTAGCTCACCTGAGCCGAAGGCTCAAGTGAACTTTTCTGATAGAAATTTGTCCGTTGTCTGTCGTCGTTGTCGTAAACTTTTCACAATTTCATCTTCTTCTCCAGAACTACTGGGCCAATTTCAACCAAACTTCCCACAAAGTATCCTTGGGTAAAGGGAATTCAAGTTTGTTCAAATGAAGGGCCACGCCCTCTTCCAAGGGGAGATAATCACAAATTAGTGAAAAATTAGTGGCATCATTTAAAAATCTTCTTCTCAAGAACCACTGGGCCAATTTCAACCAAACTTGCCACAAAGTATCCTTGGGTAAAGGGGATTCAAGTTTGTTCAAAAGAAGGGCCACACCTTCTTCCAAGGGGAGATAATTATGAATTTGTGAAAAATTATTGGCATCATTTAAAAATCTTCTCAAGAACCACTGGGATTGAAAATATGAAACTTATACGGAAGCATCATCAGGTAGTGTAGATTCAAGTTAGTTCAAATCATGACCCCCAGGGGTAGGGTGGGGCCACAATGGGCAATCAAAGTTTTACATAGGAATATACAGGAAAAATCTTTAAAAATCTTCTTCTTAAGGTATTCAATGTATAATGAAGGGATATTGAACAATTTTGAATCATATTCAACTAATTAAATATGTATTGCTAGATAACGATAAAAGTGAAATGAACCAAATTCACATCACTGATAACATAAGAAGTTGGCTATTTAGCACATTAAACGTTTTTGAAGAGTATCTGCCCTTGATGCAAAAAAAGAAATTTTAATTTTGTCAAAATATCTGTGGCAAATGATTCATTTTATTTTACATTTTAATAAAGAGAGAGTTTATGCATATTTTCACCAAGAGATTTATATGGAGTTCAAATTACTTTTTACAATATCCTAATAATACATGTGCTGTCCATAGACTTTAATGTAAAATTCAAGGTGCAACTAATTGGTCAATATCAAAATTTTGTAAATTCCTTTGGTGGAATATTTTTATGTGATAAAACCTTCAAAATACTACCTTGATTAAAAATATCGGACCATTCATTTATTAGGTACAAAATATGGTCGTTATACATTGAATACCTTAAGAACAGTAAAGCCATGATTGGTCGTATTTATATGGAAACATCCTCAGTTAGTGTAGATTCAAGTTTGTTCAAATCATGACCCCCGGGGGTAGGGTGGGGCCACAATGGGTGATCAAAGTTTTACATAGGAATATACAGGAAAAATCTTTTAAAAATCTTCTTCTTAAGAACAGCAAAGCCATGATTGGTTATATTTATATGGAAGCATCCTCAGTAAGTGTAGATTCAATTTTGTTCAAATCATAACCTCCGGGGGTAGGGTGGGGCCACAATGGGCGATCAAAGTTTTACATAGGAATACAGAGGAAAAATCTGTAAAAATTTTCCTTTTCTAGAACAGCAAAGCCATAATTAGTCATATTTAAATGGAAGCATCCTCAGGTAATGTAGATTCAAATTTTGTTCAAATCATGAACCCCCAGGAGAATAGAGGGGCCATAACAGGGGATCATAGTCAAACAAAGGAATACAAATGATATATATCAATTAAAATTGTCTTCTTTAGAACAACAAAGCCATTATTTGTCTTATTAATTCAAAAGTATCCCTATGAAGTATAGATTCAAATTAATTCAAATCAACACCCCCCATCCCCTCGAACCACTTTTAAAACTTTTCAAGACTGAATTGCTTTCTGCTTTTTCCTAGCCAGAGTGCTCAGGTGAGCGATGTGGCCCCTGGGCCTCTTGTTTGAAATAATAGTGGCTAATGCATGACCATGGGTTTGCTGGTAAATTTTTCACTTATCCAAAGAAGATACAGTGTATGGGCACTTTTTCTAGCTACTTTTTGTAATTAAAGTATTTTTTGCAAAGCAGAAGGCTATACAAAAATTAAAAATTCCATGAAGGCATTTAATGAAGAGATTTTTTATTCCCAGGTGAAGATGAAAAGTCTTTAGAGGACTTTAAACATGCAAGCAGATTGGGTGGTCAGTTTGCGAAACAGCAAGTTGTGGCCATGAATCCGTATGCAGCAATGTGTAATCAAATGCTCTGTGAAGTTATGCAAAAAGTTCGTAATGGAGAGGTTTAGTGTGGAATACTTTCCATATCAAGATTTTTTAGGTGTCCTGAGTTACTCAGGTGACCTATTGCTGTCTGCTTTCAACAGTTGTTCTCTGTCATCTGTCACACAAAACTTTCTAAAGAGAGATAATTAATTTATCATGGTTGTAAAATCCTGTTAAGAACCACTATATAATTTCCTGATCAAAGTGAAGATTCAAATTTGTTCTTACACTACTTTTCCCCCTTTCCAATGCCTACAAAGGGGGTTGATAAAGTGTTACACAGAAATTAATAGCACCAAGGCCAGAGACAAAGAAATTCAAATTTTCATGTAAAAATAATGGGGGGGGGGGGGATCTTCTTTCCAGAGCCTCAAATCATTACATTTATTTCCAAGCATGTTCATGTTATGTAGATAAAGATTGTTCCATTTTCTAAGTAAACACCCCCTCCCCCTTCCTGAAAGTATGGCATAAAAAAGAAGTTTAAGTTTTGGGAATGATATCTATAGGGAAAATCTTTGAATTTTTTTTCTTCTCAAGGACCTAAGGCTGTAAATTGTCTTTATAATTTTATATGCAGTCATCATATTGCAGTGTAGAATTAATTTTGGGGGCAAACAGTTCTTTATATTTAAAAAGAAAATTCATAGAAATTCTCCCAAACAAGGCTTAAAATTGCCAAATTATTACAAAATTATACCCCCCCCCCAAATGAAGTTTATTATACCCCCCACAAATGGAGTTAGTCAAATTAAAATACATAATTACTTGATGGCCAGCTTTTTATTTTCAAATTTTATTTGGTATATAAAGTTGTCTAGACTAATTTAATATAAATGTATTTTTATTTTATTTTTTTATATCTCGGCAAACAAATTGCAGAGTGTCATGTCTCACAAATATGACAGATGGTTGCATTTAAGTTTTACAATCTAGTAAAAAACTATATAATGATTAGTATTTTAATGTTTTATGAGGCTGTGGCTCAATAGTTCATCATTCATTAAAAAAATACGATGATCAACTTTGACTGTCAATGATAACAAATTTTGAACACCTAGATCCACAAACATACTTTTGGTGACTTGGTACCTTTTCTGAAATCCCATTGGGGGTATTTGTCCATTTTGAATAGTTCTAGTTTTCATGTAGTGTATATTCAAATTTGTCCAAAATTTTGCCCATAGGCACAGGTGCAGATGCATTTAGACTCCAGTACATTTTAATTAGTAGGAAAAAGAACACATGTTAAAGACAAACACCACTTTATATTTGACTGTATAGCAAGTTATGATTTAGTAAAGAAAAAAATTAAGTCCATTAATAGTATAAGTAATAAATATAGCCTCTGACATATACATGTATTAATGATAATACATGGCATCACAAAATATTTATTATGTAAATAGAGGATATTCAATGTTTTGTAGTTGGATATGGAATTTATTTCACGAGTGGGACAGGATTTTTGATATTTTCACGAGTGCAAAGCACGAGTGAAAATATAAAAAATCCTGTCTCACGAGTGAAATTAATTCCATATCCAACTACAAAACATTGAATTTTCTGTTTATTACATTTTGTTTGATTTTCCCTTTGCCTCTGTCTTTTCGTAAGACATTGTCATAGGCTGTGACGTCATAGTTGAGCGGTTGAGATGTCATAGCGAAAACATTGTAATATGGATTTTAGCAACATATTTGGGAAGAAATAGGCAGTTTTAGTCTCTATCAAAATGGTTTAGTTACTATATCTTATTACCGGCCAATAATCATTTTTAGCTCACCTCAACGAAGTTGGGGGAGCTTATGTAATACCCTTGGCGTCGGCGTCAGTGTCGGTGTTGGCGTCGGCGTCCCAGGTTAAGGTTTTTGGAGCAGTTTTCTTTTCAAGTACTTCTATGGCCTATATTAGTCAGAGATGCATGGAGGATGCTTCTAGTGTGTTTCATTGTACCAGTCAAGGTTTCAGATGCTGCAATTTCAGCTGAAGAATGACCAGGTTAATGTTTTTGGAGCAGGTTAAAGTTTTTGGAGCAGGTCTCATTTTCAAGTAACTATAAGCCCTATATTGACCAAACTTGCATGGATGATATATCTAAGGATGCACACTACTGAACTTGCTTCGGATGCTGGATCTGACCTACATTTTCCGGATGAGTGACCAGGTTAAGGTTTTTGGAGCAGATCTCATTTTCAAGTAACTATAAGCCCTATATTGACCAAACTTGCATGGATGATACATCTAAGGATGCACACTACTGGACTTGCTTCAGATGCTGGATCTGACCTATATTTTCCGGATGAGTGACCAGGTTAAGGTTTTTGGAGCAGATCTCATTTCCAAGTAACTATAAACCCTATATTGACCAAACTTGCATGGATGATACATCTAAGGATGCACACTACTGGACTTACTTCAGATGCTGGATCTGACCTATATTTTCCGGATGAGTGACCAGGTTAAGATTTTTGGAGCAGATCTCATTTCCAAGTAAATAAAAGGCCTATATTGACCAAACTTGCATGGATGATACATTTAAGGATGCACACTACTGGACTTGCTTCGGATGCTGGATCTGACCTATATTTTCTGGATGAGTGACCAGGTTAAGGTTTTTGGAGCAGATCTCATTTCCAAGTATCTATAAACCCTATATTGACCAAACTTGCATGGATGATACATCTAAGGATGTACACTACTGGACTTGCTTCGGATGCTGGATCTGACCTACATTTTCCGGATGAGTAACCAGATTAAAATTTTTGGAGCAGATCTCATTTCCAAGTAACTATAAGGCCTATCTGATCAAAACTTGCATGGATGATGCATCAAGGGACGAACAATCTCAAAACTTGCTTCGGATGCTGGATTTGACTTACATTTTCTGGAGGAGTGACTAGTTTTAAGTTTTCAGATAAGTCTATTACCAAGTAACTCAAGCCCTATCAGACCAAAATCGCATAAATGTTGCATCTAGGGATGCACACTCCTAGATTATTAGTTTAGTGTGGGACTTTGCCTTACTTAAAGGCAACATTCGTTGAGGTGAGCTCTGTAATCTCTGATTACCTATGTTTTTTACTTGTTATCCTTTCACACTGTGAGAGAATATCACTTTGCAGTATCCTTTCACACTGTGAGAGAACATCACTTTTATTCAATAAATAAATCACAGTATTTCACTGTTGAAAATGTAATAAACCCTTTTTTACAAGTCTAATTTGCAGAATATCCAAGTTTCAAGAGCATTCATTTGTTACATTCATTATCATGGGTCTTATAATCTTGTCCTTCTTAGATGGACTTAAAACATTCTTACATTTCATTTATCTCTCCCTCTCTATATGTTAATGTTGTACCTTTGAATGCCCAAAAATTGGAAATAAGTTATTTACTTAATTACAGTAACTAATACTTGTAGTGGGTAAAGAAAAAAAACACGATGAGACATCCAGGTGACCATAAAGGCTCATGGGCCTCTTGTTATTATTCATTTTTTCCCTTAAATACTGAATATAAAGAATCTCATGTTGACATTATTGTCAATTTTACAGACATTTCATTTTAATCAGTGGCGGATCCTGGAATCTTGAAAAGGGGGGGGGGGCAATTTGGGGTCGGGGTAGGGGCCCACGGCCAAACCAAATAAAATTGATTTATTAAATCTTAGGTATATTTTGGATGCAAAAAAGGGGAGGGGGGCTAGGTCCCCCTCTAAATCCGCCAGTGTTAATTCAATGCATTCAAATATCATTACTAATTTTTAATACATGAAGTGTGCGTAATTGTAGATCTACGTCTGTATTTAACTGAACTGAATAAATTTTTTGAAACACATACATTATTATTATTAGCATATATCAGTAGTTGTAAAAATGTGAATATGTTTTACAAAATATTTATTTATACTAATATGACGTTTATGATGGATTTTCTTCAAATTACAAACACCACATGGCCATGGGGTAAGGGTGGTGCTAAAATCGGGAATCAAAGACGTATGTACACACTAGTCTAAAAATCTCCAAATCACATTCTAAACAATTCATTCTTAACATTCTTTACCAAATTGTGTTAAGAATGGGTTTTTTTTTTAAATTGTCATACATTCATAAGAAAATCGAGTTAGAAATTAAATTTTTTTTTGTAAGAACTAGTTTATATCAGTATTTTATTATTCCTCCATTCATGGATATGAAATAGATAATTGAGGCAGATAAGATAAGAAAGTAGATAAGAAATTCACAAAAAATATGTAACAAGTAATGTATTCATTATTTATATCTAAACACGTTTTACAGAACATTTTACGACATATTTGAATGAAACATTGCAAATTATATTCAATTTATAAACTGATCATAGTTTAGAATTGTAAAGAAATAAGATTTATGGGGGACTATTTCTTGTGGTAGAAGGATATTTAGAAGAAAATTCTTCAAATCTACACATTTGTTTGATTTTTTATCATGGATCTTTTTTGTTATATCAGGCCTCTAAGTGGCCTCTAAAATTAATGCGCCAGCTGGCGACTTATCACAAAAAAATTTAGTCGCCAATGGAAATTTTTAGTCGCCAGGCAATTTTTTTAAGGCACGTACCAAAAGTTAATATCAATCAATATAGGGAACAGTGTTATTTACTTAATTACATTAACTAATACTTGTAGTGGGTAAAGAAAAAAACACGATGAGACATCCAGGTGACCATAAAGGCTCATGGGCCTCTTGTTATCATTCATTTTTTCCCTTAAATACTGAATATAAAGAATCTCATGTTGACATTATTGTCAATTTTACAGACATTTCATTTTAATCAGTGGCGGATCCTGGAATCTTGAAAAGGGGGGGGGGCAATTTGGGGTCGGGGTAGGGGCCCACGGCCAAACCAAATAAAATTGATTTATTAAATCTTAGGTATATTTTGGATGCAAAAAAGGGGAGGGGGGCTAGGTCCCCCTCTAAATCCGCCAGTGTTAATTCAATGCATTCAAATATCATTACTAATTTTTAATACATGAAGTGTGCGTAATTGTAGATCTACGTCTGTATTTAACTGAACTGAATAAATTTTTTTGAAACACATACATTATTATTATTATCATATATCAGTAGTTGTAAAAATGTGAATATGTTTTACAAAATATTTATTTAAACTAATATGACGTTTATGATGGATTTTCTTCAAATTACAAACACCACATGGCCATGGGGTAAGGGTGGTGCTAAAATCGGGAATCAAAGACGTATGTACACACTAGTCTAAAAATCTCCAAATCACATTCTAAACAATTCATTCTTAACATTCTTTACCAAATTGTGTTTAGAATGGGTTTTTTTTTTTTAAATTGTCATACATTCATAAGAAAATCGAGTTAAAAATTAAATTTTTTTTGTAAGAACTAGTTTATATCAGTATTTTATTATTCCTCCATTCATGGATATGAAATAGATAAGTGAGGCAGATAAGATAAGAAAGTAGATAAGAAATTCACAAAAAATATGTAACAAGTAATGTATTCATTATTTATATCTAAACACGTTTTACAGAACATTTTACGACATATTTGAATGAAACATTGCAAATTATATTCAATTTAAAAACTGATCATAGTTTAGAATTGTAAAGAAATAAGATTTATGGGGGACTATTTCTTGTGGTAGAAGGATATTTAGAAGAAAATTCTTCAAATCTACACATTTGTTTGATTTTTTATCATGGATCTTTTTTGTTATATCAGGCCTCTAAGTGGCCTCTAAAATTAATGCGCCAGCTGGCGACTTATCACAAAAAAATTTAGTCGCCAATGGAAATTTTTAGTCGCCAGGCAATTTTTTTAAGGCACGTACCAAAAGTTAATATCAATCAATATAGGGAACAGTGACGTGACTAAGAAAACATGATATGTCCATTGCTTCAAATGATTTCCTTTTCTTATAAATTTCTTTTCGCTTTTTCAAAAAATCGTTAAAAATGTTAAAATTTCAGGAATCCGACGATTGCCAAGTCAATGTAAAATGGTCGCCATTTTGGCGACTTATGGAAAATTTTTAGGCGCCAATCAAAAATTTTAGGCGCTATGGCGACTAAATTGGTCGCCAGTTAGAGCCCTGAATATGCTAGGAATATTAAGTATAGGTTTCATTTAATATTTTTAAAACAAGTTTTACACATTCACTCAATATACTTTGCAAAAAAAAAAAAAAAAATATATTTAAGAGGTCAAGATAAAATTTACATCGTTTTTCGCCTGAAATTCACATATTTGACCAATATATCATCAGGTCTCATTGACCCTCTGATATATTTTTAGAATAAATAAGATTTTATAATAAAAAAAGTATAATTTTTTTATGTGATATTATGTGCACATGTGAATCATGGGTATTATGTAATGTGGTCAGTAAACATCTTTACTTTAAGACAATGTTGCATAGTGTTTTTCAAGTGCAAAGACTCATTGTTTATTACTTATGTTTTTATATTCATATTATATCTTGTCTTTTTGCTGGAAATTCAACAATAAACAACATAAAATTTATCAAGAGCCTTGTTCATCTTTTTCAGAAATATCACCCATGACAACACAAAAATCTCGGTGATAAATATCTCAAAATTTACGTCACCCCAACTTGTTCTTTCATTAAATAACACGATACTTTTAACCGATCAGCATTTAAGTCGGAGAAAGCTTGATACAGGGAAATATTTTATTGCATGCCTATGTAAATTTTCAATATCCAAAATATTTTTTTTAGTGGTAAAAGGTCACACAATAGTTTACGTGCATTAATTTGCAGGATTTTTCAATAGTAAATATTATTCGAACTATTTTACAACTATTAAGATTATATTAAATTAATTTTATTATCATGATTACATTTGGTAAGATACGGTAAAGGTTAAAGTGATTGACCTTAAAGTTACAATTTAAGTGCAAAAAGGTCAAGTTAATTGTACCGTAGCTCAGTAAGATGCACTCTGACACCAATTTTTTTTGCAATTTTGAGTCATGTTCTATGAGTAGTTATCTAATATATACTTCTCAATAATCCTTGATATAACTCATGTCACGAGTGACATATACTAGTACCTTAAATGTTTGATTCCAAATGTTGGAGTAATAGCCCCTGAAATATAAATTTGCTACTTGTAGTTTTTGATATGGTAGAGGGAAATTGTACAAACAAAAATGGCTAAACAGACAAAATCAGTACAGCCGGTTCTAAAGCTATGCGGTCATTCATTTTGGAATTTATTATCCCTGGACTGTCAAAGTTTTGGGAATTTCGGTCGACCGGTCACACCTACCGTGAGCCATATGTATTGATCAGATAGACGGGGCATTCTGTAGTTTAATTTACAATAAAAACAAAGGCTTAACAATTGGTATTAAACACGTCAGCCAAAATACGATGCATAATAGATTATATTTGCTAACAAGGTCATTATGACGACCAAAGAATCTACGAAATGCTGACTTTACACGAGGTAGTTGAAATCCCTATAACTTCAACTTATTTGTCAGTAGCCTGCCTCGAATTTAAAATTGAATGTACTCCGAGCATGCTCTTGAGTACCGAATTAGTTGAGAGATGTAAACACCGTATGCAGAATATTACTACATAAATAAGGATAGTTGAAGTCAACTCGTTTGTCATTGATACAATTTAGTTGTTAGGTGGCCCTTATCATTTATAGTCCGTAAAACATCAAAATATGAAACAGATATTTAACTTTCATTATTGAGGCCTAGAAGGTGTTTTATTATGGTACAGAGGTAGCTTAGCAGCAGCAGATTAATTCCAACCCCCAGCGACTGTAGGCCACAGATACTTGTCCCGAGTCTATTTTCGTTGTGGACAAATGTTAACACAAAAGTATCAGTCTGATTAAAACAAACCTTCGCTAGCTCCTTTTTATTTTGATTGCATGTCTCGTGATTTTGATTCACGCGACAATCAAAATAAAAAGGAGCTAGTGAAGGTTTGTTTTAATCAGACTACAAAAGTATGATCTGATAGTTAATGCGAATTCAAGAAGAAAGTTTGATTTGGGAGTAAGAGTAAAACTCATATATTAATAAGTGGTTTTAGGTGAGATCATTTCTTGCATAGTCTGTTTCTGGTTATGCTGAGGTAAAGTCCTAATTTTGAATAGGTTCTATTATAATTCTATGTTCTGGTTTTCATGCAATCACAGAATTTGTTTTTTCTTTTATATTTGTGCTTGCCATTGAAACAATACTTCCCTTTAATTTATTATGCGATTTTACTGGTTCGATAATTATGTCTTTATTACAGATAAAACATATTGATAAAATTATACATGTGCCATAATTCAATTTCTGCTGTCATGTCGCTGTATTTATTCTCTTATCCCCATCACCACCAAAACAGTATGCAACCACTGAACAAACCAAGCGATTGCCTTCTTTTTAGCTTTTGCATTGACTGCATATTGCATAAGGTTTTGCACTGAGTGCATATTACATTAGATTTTCCATTGCCTGCATATTGCATACAGTAGAATACGTTCTACTCTTTGTAATCTTTTAACAAATGGGTATCAACTTCTCTGTTACTAAAACAACGTTTCTCTCGTACTCGATATTTCCAACTGTATAATTTGTAGTGTTTAACAGATTAAAAATCACATATATGTATACTCATGCATGCTGGACGTTTTTGACGAAACCAAATAAGAGAACGGGTCAATTAATTCTATCCCATATTCAAAATGACTTCCTCGAGAAAAGACAGTAGTCATATACATCTAGGGTTTCACCTTCAGTCCGATGGTAGTTAGAATAGTTCGAATAACCATTGTTACAATGCGAAATGTAATAACAACGCAAAATGTAATAAACTGGGATTATTGCATTTTTGTTATTAAGTTTTGCGTCGAAATCAACATAGAATGTGATAACGAAAAACACACTTTTTAGGATTATTACATTTTGCGTCGAGATTAACACAGAATGTACGAATAATGTATTTTTTGATTATTACATTTTGCGTTATTTATTTAACACAAAATGTGATAAATAAAAATGTAACAACACAAAAGATAATTTTTTCGCTTGTGTTCAACGCAAAACATCATAACATAAAATTGATTTAAACATATCTTTAATATTTATAAATATAATCTTTAATATTATAAAATATGAATAGGAAATGTGCCGAATTGAATAAGTCGGCTAGGAGTATGAAATGCTTTTAAGGTCCTTCATATAATTTTTCTTTGTTTATGCATAAATAAAACTTTGTTTCATAGAATTTTGAGGTTTTGTTTCCTAGTAATTTTTTACATTGCACGCTCCTAGCATAAAAATTGTATATCCACTGAATATTAGTGGTACTGATGGCAAAGATGATTTAAAATCGGTGGAATTTAATCAATGATATAATTGGCGAATCAAATACTAGTTACTCGAATATACGTAAACACAAGACATGGACATGTCCTTTCGCATATCAGAAAATAAATAAATAAAAATTGTCATGCCTGAAAGTCATGAAATCGGCACATTATATTTGATCCCTTGAAATGGAACTCGCATTATTTCGTAGATCAGGAATCGCGGCTAATAATGAAGCAATATATATATATATATATATATATATATATATATATATATATATATATATATATATATATATATATATATATATATATATATATAATTATGTATATAATCATTGGTGTGAAAATTATTCTCAACTTAACTGACCAAAAAGTGTGTTGGGCATTTTGCATTTTTCCGTTTTGCTTATTATCGACGTAAAATATAAATATAACAAAAAATATAACAATTGAAAAATATCTTATTACATTTTGCGTTTTTAGATTTTGCATTGACATCAACGCAAAAAGTAAGATCGCAAAATGTAACATTCCTTAAAGTTTCTTATTACATTTTGCGTTATTACATTCTGCGTTAATTTCGACGCAAAATGTAATAACACAAAATGTAATAATCGCGGTTTATTACATTTTGCGTTTTTATTACATTTCGCGTATAGTAACATAACCATATATTTACTTTTTACGAAAAAGCTTGTAACAGATTAAATATTTTGAATCTATTAAAGCACTTACTTGATAGAAATTCTTTAATAAAGATATTTTTTATCTGGATCTGTGCGTGTCTGTGTGTGTATGTTTACCCGTATTGTAATATATATATTCACTCAGTTCATTGTATTTGTAACCTTGACTTCTTGTATAGAGAGGGTATTTATAGGCATTGTATGCCTGTTGCTTAATCTATTCAGTATTCTAAATAAATATTGTTTAAACATACCCCTAGTTGCCCACCATATCACTTCAACAGGATGCCCAAGGATCCAAGGTCACCTGAGTATAACACAACTCTGTAAACGATCCATAGAAGTATAAAATACAACAAAATAAACAGATACATGTAGATTGAACGCAAGAGAAATATGAGGATCAGGGATCAACAAAATAATTATTCTAGTATTGAAGTAACAAATCTTAGAGTAGATCTTTGAATTTGTCTCTTCTTGCTCCTATTTGTCACTATCACTATGTAAACAGAACAAAATAATACTGCTTGAACACTGTTAACAAACACATCTCATTCCCTCTCACATTGGCCTTTCTTGGTCTTTGAAGAACATTAATGTACAAAGATAAGGTATTTTTGTCACATTATCATTTTATACAAAACTACCTGACCATTAAACACTATGAAAGTACTTTTAGTGTTATATATTATAAAATTCTTGTACACTTGACAAAGTGGTCTAGATCAAATCTGAAAAAAACGCCCTTGCTTATTACATCTTTGTACTCTGTTTGCCTCCTAAATGTAGATGCCCAGGAGCAAAGAAGATTATGTTCCAAGAAATAATGCATTTTCACGATACTTTCACACAGCCCCATCCCAACACCAGAATCCTTGACCCAGGGGCCATGGATTTCACAATTTAGGTAGAAGCAATATTAAACTTGCTCATCATGACTATGCACTTTATTTGTTTGCTTAATATCCAAAAGTAGAGAAGATCTTCAAAGAAATAATGCATTTTTACTCGTGCACTTAGTTTATCTGCTCAATTTACAAGGGGGGGAGGGGGGGTGTTACTATACGCATTTTCACTATATGATCATTAGAGCCCCTCCCTTTATCTCCATGGGGCCATGGATTTCACAATTTTGGTAGAGGACTCAATGCTTTTTACAGTCATGACAACAGTTCAAGAGCAAAGAAGATTTTAAAAGATTGCATGAATTTTGATGATTTAAGCCCACCTCTCAGGCCCTATGGAGGCAGGGATCGTGAAATTGACAATTTTTGTTCTCCTTCACTCATAGATGATATCTGCCAAAATTAGTTAAAAACGGATTCAGTGTTGCTAGAGAAGAAGCTAAAAATGTTCAAATGTTACCGGACGACGACGGACAAAAACAAGTAGAAATAGGTCACCTAGGCCTGAGTGACTCAGGTGACTTTAAAATAATAAATCTTGTATATAACTGTGGATAAGCAATATTTTTTCAATTCTGAAAAGCAAAATTTTGACACTTTTGATCATTCTTCAATTTTCTAAAGAAGCTTAAATCTTTCCTTTTTCTTTGACTTAAACGTAATTACATTTAAATAGCTAGACGCCATTACGTGTAATAAATAAATCTTACATGATTTATTCATGAGTAACATTACATAAACGTTAATCAGAGAAACTTAGTTTCGTGTCGATGGTAAGAATTCTCTTCAAAGTTACCAGTCGTATCACTTTAAAAGGTTTTAATATTGTATGAACAACCATTGTGCAATCCTCAAAAACAGTCTTGCGTACTAACTTGATCAAAAGAATTGAGGTTAAATTATTTCTTCTTTTCTTCGATCTAACAATGAAAGTGTAGAAATCATAAGGTTTATTGAAAATGTTCCCGTTTTTATTCAATATAATGAATACAATTGCATGTTCACCTCGAGACGCTGTAATTGTCGTATATGTTGTAAGGGAAATCATTTTCTTCATTAATACAACACACCCCTAGAGAGAGAGAGAGAGAGAGAGAGAGAGAGAGAGAGAACGTCCTATTTTGCACAATTGCTAATATTTTACCATCAATTTCGATAAATTAGATTTAATTCACACTTCTGTATAGTGTTAGTCATGATCAGATGTTCCATTTCGAATAAGATTTTAGACTATATTTCATCAATGAATAGCTGTCATTATAATGTAGCAGCAATCAATTTATGAAATATTTGTGTTAAAATGTCCTCAAAAATGGTGAAAGGGAAAGGGCATCCCAAAACAATTGAAACAGATTCGATCTTGAAAATGTCTCCATTATCAAAAGTTTTGTATGACGTCCTTAAGGTATTTCCACCCTCCTGTGATGTTATAGGTTTTTGTAAAAACTGTTATTTATTAAAATTCATAACACAAGAAACATATCTTTTAGAAAAATGCATTTCAATGCGTGTAATGACAAATATTGTTTAGTAAAAGAATCAAAAAAATGAATATTTTCTTTATTTAATCAATTATTCAATCTTTAAAAAATGTTGCTAAGCACAATAACTCCTTCTCATGTATCCATATTCAGGCATTTTCCTTATTGTACTTCTGATGTAAAATGTTTTCCCTGATATTCACAATTCAAACATAATTGTAAAGAATCAATTATTTTGGAACTTTCAGCATCACACTTATGTATTTGAACCAGTTTTTACATTATTTTTATAATACTGTTTACTAAAAATGTACGATTTTTTAATGCTAACATATGCTTCTGTTTATTTATGTTTTACATCTTAAAAAATAGTGCAACCTATATATTTTTTGTGATTATTTATTAATTTAAACTACATTTAGTGAAAATAAATGCAGTTTTTCTACTTTGAACCAATAAAATTGCGAGGATGGAAATACCTTAAGAATCGACCAAAGAAGACGTCGGAGTAATTGATGTACTGTATCGATTTGTACCCAAAGTTAAACATGGTGTATCAATTTGGTTTTGTGGTAATATATATACACTATGCCCTCAAAGAAAATGTTATGATGCATTACATTTACAGGTACTAGTAACATGTCTTAAAGAGCTGATAATAGAAGTATATTTAAAAATAAGGCAATAGCTATCAAAATACAAATTAAAAAAAATAATGTATTCAAATCTACGATTTATGAATACGTCCGACTCTGTCTTTTTTTTTTTACAGAGACACTCCTTACCCTGAGGAAACCAACGAAACTAAATAACATCTAAGTTCGGTTTGTATTAGAATAAATATCGAAATAAGGAACTGCATGGTTGTCTCCATTGAAAATCGGAGGTTATCAAATGAAAAAGTTTAATGTGTCCACAATTTTTGAAACCAAAAATGAATGCTTCAGTGGGCACGTGTACCATCTATCATTTAACTCATCCCACATTCTCTCGATTTCTTCAGGGTAGTAATGATGCCCCGTGATTTTGTATCTAAAGTGTGCCCCACAAGGTCCTTGGTCTCTATATCCACAACTAAAGCCTGGGTGTGCGAATGCCTCTGCACTTATGTATTGTCTGCATATTCCATTCACATACACATCCTCCAAGAATATACGTTCCACGACATTTGTAGCAAGATAAAGTTTAGAAATAATATCACCGGTTATGACGTAAGCTGGTCCACTGATGTAATCAGGAAATGTATCGGCGCTATACTGTTTCCGTGAGATATACCATTTTGATAATGGAAATCTAAATGGCGACGTGTTGGTCACTTTACATCCCATAATGGAATTACTAGGTTCCATACGTTTGAGATCATCAATCAGATTCCTAATATTTAAGAATATATCATCGTCCACTTTTAAGTAATACTTAGCTCGATAACAATTAACATGGATCCATTGAAGAATACTTATAGACTTCTTTGCTAAATTTTCGTACGTCTCTTTGACATTCAGTCTTACTACGTCATTATAAATTTCATTTTCTTTGGAAACTATCTGATTAATTTTTAGGTTGTCTGATGCTCCAACGAAAAATACCAGTTTAAGAGAGGGGTCTAATTTAGCCACACTTCCCCATGCTTTTCGAATGGCTATCCTTTCCCTGAAATTATTAATGGCACTAGGTACAGATATGAAAAGGAATAAAGAAGATCCGTTTTTTGAACAGCTAAGTAGTGACGCAGAATTAGAGTGTTCAACCTTTCTATTTAGGATCATATCAACACTGTTATTGCTTGTTGTGAAAATTGCTTTACATAATTTCAATACAACTAGAACAATTGTTAACACCACTGCACTGTAGGTAAGGCACATTGCGTATTTCCGAGTTTTCCTCTTGAAAGACACCGGGAATAGAGCCATGGTCTAAAATGGAAGGGAAAAAGAATGAATATTTTTGTCTTTTAATTTTAAAAAAAACGCGTTTGAATTCACCTTTTCATATACAATGTATATTTTTAACATCTAGAAAATTAAACTCTTTTGGCTGTGAAAAGTACTCACAAACGTGAACATATTATCTGTGGATGAATAAAATCTATATAGTATTGATGTTATTCTATATTCTATAATGTTTTTAAATTGGGTATGCTTTAAATGGGCAAACATTTTGTAGCTCTTTTGATATTTGTGATGTATGTACCTCCATAACTTTTCTGTATTATTAAAAAATGACGCTATTATTGCTTTCACATTGAGATACAGAACATAAAGCTTAGCAAGACAAAAAAAAAAATTAAAAATCGCTTTACTTGAACATTAAATATAGTCTAACGGTTGAAATGCAATCTCCCTGTAATTTTGATTTTAAATAAATACAGAACTGGCTTTTTTTCAGTGCACGCAAACACCAAAATTCCTAACATTTACACATATTAATCGAGGATCTGGGTAAAGGTAGTAGAAATACATTAAGTATTACGTACCATAGATTGGACAAAGCTTATATTGCTTCGCAGACTCTGTAGGTACTAGAGGATGTAATGAACAGTCTGTAATGAAAAAAAAAATTAAAAAAGACATGAAATTGAAGTCAACGCAGAGTTTTATTAATACCCACGTTTCAATATGTGAGGGGTTGAAATATAAAAGTTCCAGTTATTGAGCATGTTTGTAAAAATTTATTATTTTCATATGTAGCAGACGACATAGAACTTCCATTCTTAAAACTGTTAAAGTTCACAAAAAGGAAGTAAAATCAATTAATAACCTACATCGTGACTATTGTTTAAAGCTGTTATATCTTTTTGCCGAAATTAAAAATACACGATTTTAAAATAAAAAATTTTAGTGACCTACTTCAATATACTGAGTTCATCTGCAATAGTTATCCACTTCCACTTTAAAATGACATATTTTTCACGCCACCTTAACGAAACTCAAAAGTTTACAACTAATTGTGTCATGTTTTCCTCATTTATAAGTGAATACGACATACGGGACATTAAACACTTATCTTTTCCCTATAACCAGGAAATAAGCAACTATCAGTATTGAAAAAAAAAATACAGACTGACTTTACACAGCGAGGTGTTCATACTTACATATGGCATTAGTGTACTAACTTAAGAACTATGGCAGGGCTATCGCCAGATTTCTGGAAAGAGGACTGTGAACAAGGGTATGGGAGGTACAATGTACATGTATACAATTGTAAGCCCTCCTCATCCAGAATTATTTTTTAAATAATTGATTACCATTTAGTTCTGTTTTGGTAGATTCTTGAAGTCATTTTTCACATATTAGATAAAGGAAATACAATAGAATTACCTTAATCAGATTAATATTGAATTTATGTTCTTTTTAAATGGGGTCGCCCAACAACCCCCACCCCCTTTCCGACGGCCTTATATGGATCGATATTCAGAAGAACAGACTGTAATATTTTCAAACCAAAAAGGGGGTATTTGATAGTAAATATTAAACATTATAAACAACAAGGCCTTTTTGCAAAACAGTCATTTAGGGCTTCAAGTTAAAATGACAGTATATACGTGTAATGTCATTTCCAAAAAAAAAAAAAAAAAAAAATAAAATAAAATAAAAAAAAAGATGTCAAAATGTATGTATACTTACTGCCACCCGGTAAATTCAAAATTTACAACATGACAGTTTCTCTATGGTGCCTCTAGCCGACCCCTATCCCGGATCAGAAGCTAAACAAGTTTTATTTGTTACGTAACGATGCTAATGTGTATGTATGAACACTATACTTTCATTGCTATTCTTGAAATATTAATTACCCCTCTCCTTACTTTAAGGTCTAATTTGATTCTAAAAAAAAATTAAAAGATAAAAATAAAGATTGCTTGCGGCTGAATTTGATTACTCACATTCTTATTATTCTGAAAAAAATAATACTTAAAATATTTTTGAAAAAAGAGGTAAATTCAATAGTAGAAGTGAGCTGTTTTCTTACCTAAATTTCTTATATATATGTAGCTTTTGATACTAGTTTATTATGTCTAAAACTGGTAATGATTTGCAACACATAAAATACTTTTAAGTTTTTTTGAACTTATGAGTTCAACAGATGTAAGAAAAATAAATTGAAAAAAAAAACCCAATAAATTTACTCATAATAAATTAAAAGTAGTCTCTTAACTGCTCGATCCAATACATGTATATGTATTGATGTTATTAACTTATTATGTACCTCTTGTATACCATGTATACACTGTGGAGAGAAAAAATGGAACTTCAACTTAGCCCAGAACCAGACTAGCCAAAAGATGTACTAGTTTCTGCATGGGGATGTTTGAATATTTATTTGTCAATGAATAATCACAACCTCCCTGTCCAGGAGAAGCCTTTTAATGTTCATATATGTGTATATAAAATTAACCTTATTATTTTACCAGGAGACAAAAAAGAGAATATAATACACAGCTACATTTATTTAGAACGTTTGCATACTAATTTGACGAATGTTAGCCTTGTTATTCTTAAGAAATTGTTTTAATTTGTTTCCATATGCATTCCCATGCATGTAAAGATTTGAATCTCTACATGTCGTCAATGAGGATTGTATAAACGAACTCGGAACCCGCGATCCTTTAGGTTGCTTACAGTTTGGCTTGACAAATTAATATGCACACTTGTAACAACTTCAGTCTAAAAAATGATACCGTTTCCGGTCAGCAAGTTAAATGCAGGGAAAGTAAATCATCCGTTTTTAAAACGAGTACAACTTGAAAACATGACAACAAGTACTATGGTGCGTTTACAAAGTAATATGACCATCGGGGGGGGGGGGGGTTAAAAATCCTCCTTTATTTCTGTCACTTGTTTCTCCATGTCAAGAATTCGGACCTTTAAACATTTTTTTATACATTTCACTTACTAGCAAAAAGTGGCTGAAAAAAAATTAAGCAATAGAAAACTATTACACATAAATGTACATGTATCAACTAAGATGACTGTATTACCTCATAACAAATTCAAAATCAAAAGAATTACAATAATATTCAGATAAACCCATGAATAGAGGAAATGGGCGCCATTAAGAAGACAGAAAGCGATTTTTGTTTGACAATCTTTAGATCACTTTTGGCTTACTTTTTCACTACATACAGAAGTTAGTTCCGTTAATGCAAAAATGAATTTTTAGAGATTTTCAGATGAAATAAATAATCCGCCCAAATTGGGTTCAAGTCTATACATTTAATTATTATTATTATTATTATTATTATTATTATTATTTTTTTGTTTTGAGAAAGTCCCTTCAATCCCCCCCCCCCCACCCCGCAAAACAAAAGCACAAACCTTTAAAGTCTTCATTCATGGCATTATTTTAAATGGTAAAATGTCGTCCACAATAGATTATACAGTGTTTACTGAGTGCTATTCAATATTTACTTTGCTTTAAATCTACAAACAAATTGAGACTCGTTCGGTTATCAATACTAGCACGCAGTGTGAATTCTCTCAACCTTGAAAAAAAAAGTCAATATTTTTACTGCATTAAACATGATATGCAACGAACCACACAATATTCCTGATTAAGGTTCCCGCAGTGCTACTTAATTGGTTATTGTGAAAACGCTAAAAACCAATCCGTGTATTTTTATGTAACTTTGTATCGATTTTATTGTAAGTGTGCATTAATTACAACGTTCATGCGGATCTTAAATTTCCGTGGTGGAATGGATTAAAGTTGAACCAATCTCCCCCAATTCTTTTTTGTTTAGTATGATTTAAGTCTGAAAATCGATCGTTCCAAATTCCACCCTTCTCATCGACATAATATCCTTTTATTCAATGCAAATCAATAATTAAGCCATCTACATATTATAACATTCTTTTCTTTATCGTTTAATATCAACCTTTGAACTGGAGCACCCTCCACCATTACCATTCTACCCCCCCCCCCCCCCCCCCCATGTTAGCTTGTAAACCGGGATGTGTGTCTGATGTTGAACACGTCGGATCTTTACATTAATGATCTGAGCGTTCATTATTGCATTATTGATTGTGATTAAAAATAGCGACACATTCAGACTCTCAAAATATGTCATGCTTATATATAGAAATATTTACTTACTTATCTTCACAGCTCATCAATATTCCAAGTCAAATTTAATACTGCCAATGTACAGAGCAAAGAGAAACGCCATTTTGGGGCAATTGCAACATCGCTGTGTTGTCTGGTTTTGTACAGAACTGATAAGGTCCTTTGCTTTTTAAAAGTTTAAAGTCCTTACGTTTATGATGATGTTTACATAGAAAGACAGGAAAGCGTTGTGATCCATTACCTGTTTTTTTTTTTCCATACTGAATATTTAACGTGCATAACTGTAAGATACGATAGTGGTCACACCCCGTTGAACGTAACGCACCAGGTTTTAAAAAAGCAAACTTTATGATCTTATTTTATGCATCCCAAGGCATATCTAGCACATTTCAAACTGCACAGATTTTTTTTCATCACTCCTTTAAAATATGAAGATTAAGTTCACAACAGAGTGAAATGTTAAAATCTGCGCATATTCTTCTCATTTCAACAATTCATGTTAACTATTATTAGTTTTTATGTACTTGTATATAATCTCTTATTTTAAGGTGGGGATGTGTCCACACCAACTCATACAAATGTCGTACTCGGAAATTTTTGACAGGAAAACAAAGAGAGAGTCCATGGGCCACAGTGCTCACCTGAGTCACCCTGGTCCTGTAGTTCTTCAGCTGCGGATTTTTTTTGTAAAAAAACTTTCCTCTTTAATTTCATATTAAAAACTGACTTCATATTGTGGACCAAAATGTAGCCCTATGAAAACTATGGTTTCGACTCAAAATGGTCCTGCTGTCCGGAGAAGATCTTTTTTCTTACATTATGTAAAATGCGGATTTTTGACTTCGGTCCAACACTTACCCTAAGGCTCATACTTAAAAAAGGATTTCAAATAACTTAGGTATGTTTTGCTTTTTAATATGATTTAGTATCAAATGTTATTGTACATCTTGAAACCAGTTTTACTATACATTCTCCGGCTTGCAAAACTCTGATCCTTTGTTATAGCCTATTCCTTTTCCCGAGAGCTCTGATCTGAACAAACTTGAATCAAAAATACATGAAGATGCTTGCATATCATTGAACTAATAAATAAATGACTTTGCTGATAATATTGTGGCCTCACCTTACCAAACTTGAATCTAGTGAGTACACTACCTGAGGATGCTTCTATATTGATATGAGTAATCATGGCTTTGTTGTTCTTGAGAAGCAGATTTTTAGCTCTACTGGTCAGAGACCAGAAAAGCTTACATGTATGCGATAGTAAGGTGTCCGTCGTCCGTCCGTCTCTCTATCTGTCTAGCTGTCCGTCTGTCTGTAAACAATATTTCAAAATGCTACCCCTCCTACAGTTTTGGTCTGATTTCAATATAACTTGGCACACAAGTAGACTACACTAAAATACATAATTTAGTGCATCGGTTTCTGATTTCGATGAACAGTGTTGTCATGGTTACTAAAAATAGAAATTTCTGTGAAATTCCTTTAAAATGCTACTCCTCTTACAGTTTTGGTCTGATTTCAATATACATGTAACTTGGCACACAAGTAGACTACACTAAGATACATAATTTAGTGCATTGGTTTTTGATTTTGATGAACGGTGTTGCCATGGTTACTAAAAATAGAATTTTATGTGAAATTCCTTTAAAATGCTACTCCTCCTACAGTCTTGGTCTGATTTCAATATAACTTGGCAAACAAGTAGACTACACTAAGATACATAATTAAGTGCATCGGTTTTTGATTTTGATGAATGATGTTGCAATGGTTACTAAAAATAGAAATTTCTGTGAAATTCCTTTAAAATGCTACTCCTCCTACAGTTTTGGTCTGATTTCAAAATAACTTGACACACAAGTAGACTACGCTAAGATTTATAATTCAGTGCATCAGTTTTTGATTTTGATGAACGGTGTTGCCATGGTTACTAAAAATAGAAATTTCTGTGAAATTCCTTTAAAATGCTACTTCTCCTACAGTTTTTGTTTGATTTCAATATAACTTGGCACACAAGTAGACTACATTAAGATACATCTATAATTCTTTTTATTGCTGCATGTTGCAGAATTTCAAATCCAATTCCTACTTTTTCTTTGTTACATTATATGTACAGACCAGTAGAGCTACAGTCTCATCAGAGACTTCTGGTTTAAATATTGACATTTTTTCCTATATATTCCTATGTATAACTTTGATCCTCCCGACGTGGCCCAACCATACTCACGGGGGTCATGGTTTGATAAAACCTAATCTACACTACTGTGTAATGAAGCATTCACATACGTTTCATTTTTTTCTGTCCTACTGGTTCTCGAGAGGAAGATTTAAATTGACGCCATTAAGGTTTTGCCAAAGGTCAACATGTCCAAAAATTTATTTTTACAATAGCTCCAAAACTATATATATGTTGTTTATAAAGTTTAAACTTTTACAGTTTATAAATATTTCATTGATTAACAGATAGAAAGTATCACTTGATAACAAATACTTAAAAAAATATATATCGAGAAAAAATTCTTTTTAAAAAAATGCATATATTTTTAAAAAATACACCTAATTAATTCCGTGCTTTTAGTGAAAGCCATCATTGTAGAAACAATATATGTTTATCAATGAAGGGCAAGTTGGACTTTGATAGCCTCTGGAAAGTTGTTTTCCTTGTTTATTTTGTCCAAATGTTAAGATTTGAAACCGAAAGTACATTGCAAATGGCGGACTTAATTTTTATAGGGGTTTTGTCTTTATACATGTCATGCTTTCAATAACAGCATTTCAGAGACCATTCACGTCCAACTTGCCCTTCATTGATAAACATCTATTATTTCTGCAATGATAGTTTTCACCAAAAATACAGAATTAAGCAGGTGCATTTTTTTTTTTAAATATGCAAATTTTTTGATTTTTTTTCTCAAAAAATATTTTTTTTAAAATATTTGTTTTCAAGTAATACTTTCTATCTGTTAACCAATGATATATTTATAAACTGTAAAAGTTTTAACCTTATACCTCACATAGTTTTGGAGCTATTTTAAAAATAAATTTTGGCAAAACCTTAATTAAATTTTCCCCAATTCTTCTAGCCAAGAGTTTCTGATCCGCTGTTCTCCCCACCAACCCTTGGCCTATGGTACTAACAAAAGTCGGGATTTTTTCTCCAGTTTTGATTGGAGTCAGTTCGACCATTATCTGCAAATGCTTTTGTAAATGACGATATCTCCGTTCGGGATTATACGTCTTGACTCTTTAGTCTCGGGATGAAAAACACCACTCTCTACCATCGGCTCATACATCCACCTCTGTCGTTGGCTCGTGTATATCACAATGTTAAGTACAAGAAATAGTGCGTTTGTTTTAACTCATTATAATTAAATTCCTGCACTAGTGTTTATCTTTTAATGTATATATTTACTAAGTAGATCCAGGACTATCAGTTTAATTTGAAATAATTCTTGGAATATCATGTTTTTTACCTTATGTCAAAAATCTTGACGTGAGCCCATTGCAGTGTTGTCTGAGAGAGTAACGAACGACAACTCTGCAAGGGAGATTGGAAAAACACAAGTAAACAACGATTCTAAAGATAACGTACCATTCTATAAATACAATGTAGCTATGGTGCCATCCAACTTTAAGCAGATGTACACTTATTGTCATCAGGAATCTACATTAAAGATATAGATTTGCAGCCTACATAACAAATAAACATCGCTCGATATCTGATTGATAATTATTCTTTAAAATTATACTTTCATTTTTGAATATGCTTCTTATTTCCGTCGATGGCGCAATCTGTGCGTATGTGGATGTGGTAAGATTTGCGATCACGTGACGTAAGCAATCCCAATTTTTGACAGCACCATAAACCAAGGGTTTATGAGGAGAATAGCGGATCAGAAACCTTTGGCTAGCAAAGATGAATTATCTCCCCTTGAACGAAAATTTGGCCCCTCAATTAAAAAAAAAACTTGAATCCCTATCATTCAAGGATGCTCTGTGCCAAGTTTAATTCAAATTTGAGTAGTGGTTCTAAGGGAAGAAAATGAAATTGTGAAAAGTTTACGAAGACAACAATGACAGACAACAGACAAATTAGAAATGGTAACTTGAGTCTTTTTCTCAGGTAAGCTAAAAACATAAACAACTTAGTTACCCAAACCTGAAAAAGCTGTTTCGTCGGGATGGGTGCGGGTGCTAGGAAACGCTTTTCTTTCTTTCAAAATATTTTCAAGATATACACGGCTCTCTTTACAATTTTGCGAGAGATCCGTGTTTCGTGAGGGGGGGGGGTTCTTAGGTTATTTTTTCCCATTATATTATATAGAAAGTTAATTCAAGTAAATGTGGGGGTCTGTCCGGACCCCCTCCCCTCCTCCTGCTTCTAGTTTCGTGCATAAATCAATGGACTTAATTTCAACAAAAAGTAATTTTCGATATACGGTAATCAGTTACTGTACCACCGAGTGTATCTTCTAAAATACATAAGGTACATGTACAGGCGTCAACATTATTGTCATTACAGTACAAAATCCCACTATCATGACTATACAACATATACGTATGCATGCGTATCGTAACCATAAGAAACTTGAGTAAAATGGTTGGCAATAGTTACAGGGTTTAATGTAGCACTATTTATCAGATTATCATGCCTGAAAATTTCAAAATATTTTTTTCTCTCTCACATCTATTGAAGTTTGGCCCATAAATTAATTTGATGTTGTTACACTGAAATATATGTAAAATCTAAAATTATATAGAATGGGGGCATAACACTGAATCAAAAAAAGCCACTTACATGTATCTATCCTAAGATGCAAATATACAAATGCATACATGTACATACCTTTATTCCTTACCAGTGACTGACTGGTAGCTTCTAGCAAACCAGCCTATTTTGACCTAGTTTTCATCTTTAATCGCTTGCAGAACTTACTAAGATTACATTCATAATTTTATGAAGCATGTCGCAACGGTTTTAATCTCTGTAACATGAAATTACAAGAAATTTTTACAAATGCACGCTTTCTACCAGGATGGTAAACACAGGAAAAATTGTTCCCATTCATTCGGCAATACTATCAATTAAAATTGACTTGTTTGAGCACTACATTATTTTCCATCTTCACAGCGTCAGGGGTTCTGGGTTCACCCGGGACCCA